TTCTCCACATACCTCAAGGAACCATAATCAGCTCTATAGACTCTCATGCTCATCACTCAGTGCAAGATAAGTTCTCCTCTTATTGGGATTAACAATAGGTTCTTTACTGAAGTTATTTGGGAAGGATAAAGAATTACCAACTCTGCTTCTGAGATTCTATTTGCATACTCTAATTGAAAGTTTCATAAGCCAATTACTCACTCTCCAATTGTCTTATTCATTATTATTGAGAGTCTAAAGGACTATATCCACTGTGCAACCAGGATCTACCTAATTACCAGATTTTGTTGTCTTTTTTCAAACAACAGGAATCAACTCACCTGCTCAGTCAAAAGTTATATTGAGGTCTATGGACTGTATTGCTAATTAAGCATTTCCTTATTTTTTATATGTGATATTCTTGTGATGCAATTTTGAATCAAGATTACAAATATCCGTGCATTATTATTTCAAAACCTTATTGCTGCAGAAGTCTGTCAAAGTTACATTTCTTTATTTAAATAAATTATATGTTCTTAAAGTGACAACTTCAAATTTATATGTTCACCTGCAATTGAGTTCCAAATAAAGTTTTTTCCCGAGAAGTAATACAGACTGTAGCTCTGTTGCATTCAGTGTGTGAACACAGGTGTGCGTTTGTTATAAGAGTGTGTGATTCAGATTTTTTTTCTTTCCTTTCCCCCATCCCCACAGCATCTGTATCTCTCATCTATTCCTCAAGAAGGTATCTTTGTACCCTTTTTTTTTTATCTATTTCTCTATGCCCTCTTAAAATCATGAATCTCGCCATCTCTTCCTATTTTTGCAATTTCCTGCTTGTGTCTCTCTCTCCAATTCCTCCATTTGGTTATCTTTCCACATCACCATCTTCTCCGTGTGTATCCCTCTTTTACGATCTCTTCCTACTTACGGCTGACTATGATCTACCCATAGCAGGGAACACCAGAAATATAAGTTGTAACGGATCACCTGGCACCCCGACTAGGTACCTCCGTTGAAGGATGCTCCTAGCGCTTCCTGAGGACTCCAAGCACTGCAGCAGACACCAAAACCACAGAACCGTAGAAGCATATGAATGCTCTCAAGCATATGAATGTGGTATACAGCAGAATAGGAAAACCATGCGAATAGGTTTACACTCCTAGCAGTCAAACTGGAACAGCATACAATAAATCCTCCCCCAATAATGAGACGACACTTCACTTTGAGGGTTAAGCAGGAACTGACTGTACTGGCACGTACAGCCTCTTTGATTCCCAATCCACAAACTTAGTACTGCCCACAGGGTTTTACAGAACAACCAATCAATCTGTACAATACACACAGACACTCCCACACAAAATCCTCCCCTCTGCCTGTGATATGATTACTGAACACAATGGGTAATCTAATTATCACAGACAGAGAAATACAGTTTCATAAAACACATCACAGGGACCCCAAAACATGCAATAACCCCATAAAAACCGGGGGATCTGGGTGAACCACATATCCAAAATTCACCCAGATCCGTTCAGTACTTTGGAAAATACAGTTTAATGCATATTCTGCAGAACATATACAGGCTAAATAAAAAACAATCACTGTATAATGTGTCCCCTGCTGTATAGTCCAAAACCACTGCACGATGTCTCTGTGCACCAAATACTAGCGAGATGGCACCGTGTTGAAAAGTCCAAACAGTGTCTGTGAGTTAACATGGCCGCCATCCATTGTTCTCCCCATGTGCCTCTGATACAGGAAATGGTGGCCACCCAGTAACTCCACAGTATGTCCCCAGATGGTTCTTAAAGGGCCAGCAACAGCACAACACAAATCCATTATGCCCAAATCATGTCTTTAAAGGGCAATACATCCCAGGGGCCATAGTCACATGGCAGGAGGCTGGCAATCAGTCTTCTCCAATGCCCAGTGGCGAGGTCGGTTTCACCACATTTCTCCCCTTTCCCAAAAAGACTAATAAGGTATCTGACCTCCTGTCGGTCAGTGCCTTGGTTAGTCCAGCAACCCACCCACAAAACAGAATCCGCAGTATAACCCACCTACGAAAATTGGTTACTACACCTGGAGTAGTGAGTCACTTGTCCAGGTCCAGGAGCTCCACCTTGGCTCTGGGGGGTACTAGCACTCTGGATCGATGGGTTGCTGGGTGGGCAGAGACCAGCGGTACTCTGCCCTGGTGCCAGCGCTACCACGGGAGTAGCCTGGTTGGAGCCCAGGTGAGGGAATGGCGTAGTAGGATCCTCCCGCTCGACCTGGTGTTGCTGCTGGAGGGGCAGACAGGCCGGTAGAATTCTCTGCCGATGTGGAGCAGGACCAACTGTCCGTACTCCCGGTAGCTTGGGCGCAGAGGCCACGGTCCCAACCGGCTTAGTGTCTCCCCATGGTGGGCTACGCTGCCGCTGGGGAGAGAGGGTAACAAACTCCTCTCCCTTACACACTTTCAACCGCTGGGGAGAAGGGGTAACAGGCTCCTCTCCCTGACTCTCTCTCTGCTGGTGGAGAGGGGGACTGACTGTCTCTCCTTTCAATATATTGCCCCGCTGCTGGGAAGCAAGACCGACTGTCTCTGCTCCCTGCAGGACACACTGCCGCTGGGGAGGAAGGATGGCACCTTCGGCTCCCTGTGACTCACTGGACTGCTGGGGAGAGGGACCAACTGTCTCCTCTCCTAAGGACACACTCTGCCGCTGGGGAGGAAGGACAATACCTTCGGCTCCCTGGAACTCACACTGCCGCTGGGGAGGAAGGACAGCACCTTCGGCTCCCTGGAACTCACACTGCCGCTGGGGAGGAAGGACAACACCTTCGGCTCCCTGGGACTCACACTGCCGCTGGGGAGGAAGGACAGCACCTTCAGTTCCCTGTGATACATACTGCCGCTGGAGATCTGGGCCGACCACCCAGCATCCCTGTAGGGCTGGTAGAGAGACTGCCATCCCATCTCCACCTGCCATCTGTGGGTCTTCCCAGGACCAGTCTGTGAGGTCCCTCAACATTTGCGAGTAAGGACCACCTGCTTCCGCACCTGGCAACTCCGGCTGCTGCTGGGGATCTGGGCCGGCTGCCCAGCATCCCGGTGGGCCCGGTGGAGAGACCTCGGTCCCATCTCCACCTGCCTGTTGTGGTTCCTCACAGGACCAGTCTATGAGGACCCCTACTTCGGGTTCCTGCGGCCGCCTCAGGGGGAAACGGCTAGCCTCCTCGGATGCAGCCTCTACTCGGCTGCTGTAACACTCCTTCCGCTGAGCATACTCTCTCTCTTTCGCCAGCCGGAATTCTCGGGCCAGCCTTGTGTTTCGCTCGGCCGTAACCTGGTTCCAGATCACCCGGCGTATCTCCATGGGTACATCATCCCCATACTGGGCCACTTGCTGCCTCACCTCGGCCATCCAATCATTGCCAGAGCCTTCCATAATTGTCTGCTCCAAGTCGCTGGATACCTCTGCATCCAGGGGCGCTGCACGTATGCTAGTGTTGTCCTCAATTTGTAACTCCAGGAACGGTGTCTCTGAGCTGCTTTACCTCGCACTCTGGCACCCCGACTGGGTACCTCCGTTAAAGGATGCTCCTAGCGCTTCCTGAGGACTCCAAGCACTGCAGCAGACACCACAACCACCGAACCGGAGAAGCATATGAATCCTCTCAAACATATGAATGCTGTAGACAGTTGAATAGGAACCATACGAATAGGTTTACTCTCCTAGCAGTCAAACTGGAACAGCATACAATAAATCCTTCCCCCAATAATGAGACGACACTTCACTTTGAGGGTTAAAACAAGGACTCACTGTACTGTCACATACAGTCTCTTTTATTCCCAATCCACAAACATAGTACAGCCCACAGGGCGTTACAAAAAAACCAATCAATCCATACAATACACCCAGACACTCCCACACAAATTCCTCCCCTCTGCCTGTGATATGATTACTGAACACAATGGGTAATCTCATTATCACCGGCAGAGGAATACAGTTTTTACACAATATTTATAACTTCTAAAATATAAATGTCACAAACATAAAACATACATTTTCATAATCAATCCATTCAGGGGAACAACATATTAAAAAATGGCACGAATCAGACCAGGGGTTCAAAAGTTAAGGGAAAGTCCTTTGTGATTAAATGAAGCATGGCTTTCTGGCCCAAACCAGTTTCAGAGTCTTCTATCCTGGAGATAAGTAATTCAATTATCTCCCAGGACAGACACAAGACTCCATTATGCACATGGTGAGCACAAAGCATTAAAATATTATAAAATACACAAAGTCACATTTTATACATAAAACACAGACATGTCACATATCCCCAGATAGCTGGGATCTGAGCACACAAAACTACCGAATAGCGCTCAGATCCTATTCACACAATTCAATTGCCATGGAGCCGAAGTCTTTAACTACACGAATGGGCTTCATGGCATAGCTATCTGGGTTAACACATTTACATAAAGTCTGGTCCATAGTCCAAAGGCAAGAGGCGGGCAAGCAGCCCCCTCCAAGGACACGTGGCGAGGCCGGTTTCGCCACATAAGTTATTATAGATTTGTCCTCACTGTTCTCATAAATTATATTCAGATTTCTTTTAGTGGCTATATAATCTAAAAATTTTGCACAAAAAAAAAAGGTTAATCTGTGCTTTCGTGTCAAAGATTTGTGGGAATTTTTCACAATGGAAAAATTCCCACTAGGTAGAAAGATATTTTTTTCCTGCTGGGGAGAGGGACCAACTGTCTCCTCTCCTAAGGACACACTCTGCCGCTGGGGAGGAACGACAATACCTTCGGCTCCCTGGAACTCACACTGCCGCTGGGGAGGAAGGACAGCACCTTCGGCTCCCTGGAACTCACAC